ACTATAAAGTAAGTAAAGAGAAATGTAAGAATAGACAAAGAAACAAACAGATAGGGAGTGAACTAAAGAACTTACAGAGAATCGAAGGTTTGGCCGGAAAAATGAAGTGCAAACAATCTGGGTTTCATTTGACATTTTTATTGACTTAATAATGTCTTCACGAACACAATTAGTAGCAGTAGCAGTCAATGCCATTAGTGGTACATCAAACTTCAAGGACTTCAAAGTGTCAACTCGAAAGTTTTCCCTCAGAATAGACAATTGCCTGAAATGTATGAAATATTCAAATTTTCTAATTATTCATCAGACAGCTAGAAAGGAGTAATACTTCTTTTGTTTTTTTTTTTTTTTTTTAAATTGTTAAGGATTTCAAATAAATTTTGCATGAAAAATGAATTCACACATATACTACATGTGTAGTATACACAACAGCTGAACAGCTCAGAAAAGTCAATATAGAGTAAGATTGTTTTTATTAGCCCAACCTAGTGCAGGCATCATGTGCAGCATTATAAAATTCAACAATTACAAATATGAATACTTGCTATTTTAAGAAAACTGTAATAGTCTAAATTTTACAACAAAGACAAAGTTTGACCACTGAAGGCTCATTAAATTTTACAGAAACAGACAAAAAAGATAAATAAGGTTTATAAAATAAATTTAAAGAAAAAAGGTTGAATTGTTGAAAAAGAAATATATACCTATAATCTGGTCGAAAGTCATGGCCCCACTTAGAAACACAATGAACTTCATCAATCGCAAATAAAGCTATTCCACGGCTTTCAGCAAGGTTTTGGAGTGGCTTTATTAGTCTGTAAGAAGCCAAGAAATGCCAAACATTATAACTTTCAAAAAGCTTGTAAGTATTGTAAATATGAATATCAGAACATTGACAAGCCCTTTACCTTAAAATTGTCTCTGGGCATACATATATAATGCTATACAAACCATTCATTGCTTTCTTTTCAACACTTCGATCAATTTGACCAGATCCAAGAAAGCAAGCTGATATTCCATGTTTTGCTAGCTTCAAGCATTGGTCATGCATCAAGCTTATCAATGGTGAAATAACAACGACAACCTCACCAGTGAGCAATGCTGGAATCTGAAAACACAGAGATTTCCCTGTGGAAAGGTCATTATTTCAAGATGCAGAAGCTACTTATTTAAATCAGATGCTAAAATTGCTCAAATTTGAAAAGGGAATGACAGGTACCAGATCCAGTTGCTGCAAGCACAAGGCAGTCTCTGTGATTCAACCAAGCTTCCAGAGATTGCTTCTGAAAACTTTTCAAGGAAGAAAACCCAAAGTGCTTGACCAACAAAGTTTTGACCTTCTTTTCCCAATCTTGGCCAAAGACCTCTTCATCTTTGCAATTCGATGGTACAGATGTTTCATGTGCATTGCACATATCAGTATCCATCACAGGAAGAAGCTCAGTAGGACCTTCTAGGGTCCTCTGCAATGCCTCTGATTCACAGTGTGATACAGGTTCATCATTGTACTTCCTTTTTATAGGCTTGCAAGCTGATTTCAGGCATTCTTTTATATTAGACTGCCTCGTTCTATCAAAAGCAGGCAAGGCATTAGGGGCTCTTTTCTGCCTAGAATTGGTCTTGGGGGCAACACATGTACTACTAGTTGATGTCCCCTTATTTCCATGTGAACCATCCAATATATACTCAATTGCATGACTTACTGATGGACCAACTGCTTTTACAGCATCTGTAATATCAGAGAATTCAAATCCCATTCCAACCAATTCAGCAATTACCTGGTCAGAAGCCATGTTCCCGGAATAAACCTGCTCAGGGCACAGGTATAAACACAAATTTAGCGCAAAAAGCTACCAAGAAACTAAAACCAGACTAATTTGGAACATAGCAGAATACTTCATAATACCAACACAAGAACAAGTTATTTAGCTCTTTGGAAGATTTTGGGTCCAGATTAATGGTAAGCTACTCCCCTTTCCAGTCATTAAGCCTGGGTTCCAATCCCACCCCCCACTTCCCCTAAAATAAATATTAGTTTCATAGTTCACATGTCCAAAAATGATTGCCCAAAATCTGAATTTACCAATTCAGTATTGCCAGTAAAACTGAAATATAACACCAAAAGAAAATTACACAATTTTTCAAACAATGTATAGCTGTCAGCAAGCTAGAAAAACAAGAACAATACCCAAAGAATCGGCTGAAATTTTTATATGGTTAGACTTAGCCCAGAGACAATGAAATTCAAGCAATCAGACCGTAAAGCGAAATTTGTTATGCATACAATAACAACTCATTTTCGGAGAATATGGGAAATTTTTTAAATGATAATTTAAGAAAATAATAACTAAACATAATTTAGGTATTTGATGAACATTCATTTACGGAACTACAATTTACGAGGAAAATTTGAAAGAGGATTATTGATTACCTTGTGAAAACAATAGGAATTGGGGAGAGAGTGAACCCTAGAATCGAAGAACTTTAAACCCTGGCATTCGCAGTGTCCGATGCTCCGCGCCAAGAAGACTGTCTCGCCCCGCCTAATTGGGATCAGGAGAGGAGTTTAAATGCGGCGAGAAAGAAACGTCGTCGTTATTTCAGAAACGAGAGTAAAAGCATTTTTTTTTTAGTTCTTTCAATTATTTATATTTGAAAAAAGTGTCAAATTGGTCCCCTAAGTCATGTGGATAGTGCAATTGAGTCCTTTAAATAAAAAAAGTTTCATTCAAGTCTTCTAAATCGGTAAAATTGTTCAGTTAAGTCCAAATTGACTTGTTTATCAGGTTAAATGTTTGTATTTTATTAAAACTTAAAAATATTATTTTTTATAAATAATTAATTAATTTTTTTAAAAAAAAAAGCCACGACTATCCGCGTTGGACAGCCGGTGGCTGTCTTCTTTACGGATAATCGTGGCTGTCCGGTAGGACAGCCACGGTTGTCTAAGGAAGACAGTCATGGTTGTCTTCTAGATCTGGAACGAGGGCTACAGCCTTAGCCGCTGCCCTCGTTCCAGTCCCCTCTGTCTCCTCCGGGAGCGGCCGCCACGTGAAGGTGGTGGACTATCGGGGGTGACCACGTGCTCCCACACCATGCTCACGCCGTTGAAGGTGTCCATCAGGGAGTCGTTGTTGCTCAGACCGAAGGTGATGGTGGTGGAGTTGAGGTCGCGGGTGAGGTTCACGCCGTCAATCTCTGTTATGTCGTAGTAGTAGTAGTAGGCGGAGAACCAATTACATAGGCGGTGGAAGAATTTCACGGTTGCGAAACAGAGCTCCGACGGAAACACCGTTTGCAGAAAGCCCAAACACCCATTACTGAAGCGAGTGTCGTCTAAAACTCCTTCATCCTTTTTACCTTTTCTTTCACGACAATAGCATCGATGGCAACAGCTGCGGAGAGGGGAGGATCGGAGGAGGATCTAACTGATGAGATCAAAGTGTTTGAAAAGGATTAAGATTAATGGATATGGATTGATTTATAGAGGAGGTTGATGGGTTCCAGGGGACTGGTCGTTCCAGATCTAGAAGACGGACATGGTCGTCTTCCTTCGTTGGCGATGGCCATCTTCCTTAGACGGTCATGGCCGTCCTGCCAGACAACCACTTGAACTTCACTTTAAAATAAAAAGAACACATGTCAACACCACTTGAAAACACTTTTACACAATATACTTATTTTTCTATCTCTCTATTGTAACCTACCTCTCATACTACTCCTTAGTGAACTTAGAACGGTATAAGAAACACTTATACTTTTCTCTCAATACATTGAACTCTAAAGACAATATATGGGAAATTTTGTGCATTGTCGATTTTCTTGGGGAAGAGGTCCTTTTATAATCTTCTTTAATGTCTTGATCCTTGAGGTTTTGGAAATATGAATCTCACCTTGTATGAAAGATTTATTCTTTGTTTCATTCTTTGACTAATCTTCATATTCCTTGTATCCTAGCAGGATTGAGATAATGTTTTTGCCAATAATTTCATATAACACTATTTTTGGGGAAACAACGATGTTTACACTTCCGCTCGGGAAACCCATAAAAACATGTAAGCCTTCAAGCTGAGGTCTTGAGTAGTCTAATCTTCACATCGATATGATTTTTTGAGTAGCTAAGCAAGCTTAAGGAATTTCTATCTTTCTAGAACAAAGCCAAACCACTTCTTATTCCTCCTCTATTAACATAAAACACAATCAAAACCCATTTTATTTTTCAGCTTATCTGCATGAAGACACCTAACCTTGGTTTCCATTAAGTAGATGAACTTCGGTTTTTTTTTGGCTTCCATAGCCAGAATGTCTTGATCAATACATGGATCACCCAAGCCACAACAATTTCAGCATGATGTACTCGTTAGGATAGGCAAGTATGGAGCACTCCATATCTCGCCAATTGCAAGCATTTTGAGAGAGCCAGCTCAAGCTCCATAGGTTCCATCATGTATTCATTCTTTTTCATAGAATTATATGCGCGGCATCATTTATAATTAAGTAGTGTTAATTTCTCCTCACTTTCGATCACATGAGTAACTTGATATATAGAATTTGTCGTAATATGCGTTATATTATTACCCTTAAATTTAATAATTATTAAATTGATATTTAATTGGAGGACTAAATTTTGAACAAAATCATTTTTTGAAATTAACTGTAGTAATAAAGTCCATCAACATTAGTGTGGAAAGTGCGAACAAGAAGGACGTTAGGTGGAAGCTTGACTAGATTAAAGGTTGAATTAGGGATGATTCTAAAGCTTTCACCAAGGTTATGCATTCTGGAGGAGGTTGAAACAGCTTGTCTGGGAACCAAAAAATATCGTTAAACCAATAACGTCTGAAATTTTAACTGATTAATATCAATTGACTAAGGCAAATAGTCATTTATCCAACACTTATTTTAGCTTATTGATCAAATCAATGACATTTTCCAAACAGCCCATGAAAATTTACCAAACTTCACATACTCCAATACCACTATAATCAAGAAATCAAAAGTGGAATAACCTCATTATAGTGGCTACAGAAAGCAAATTGATTCAAGAGCATTTGCCAAAGACATTTATAGCAATTAGGCTAATTGCAGAAAGATAATTTATATACAGCCCCAATCTTAAGATAAAACTGACCCAAATGTCACCACTTGTATATTTACAGTTCATGTTCGTTCACAAGGTAAATAAATTAATATAATCTCAGAGCCAGGTCATAATAGTAGAAATTGTTGGCTAATATTTATGTTCCAATCTCGTGATCAGAAGCTCTCCTCAGGTTGCAAGAAATCTTGATGTTCAAGGAGGGTCATCTCCCCACCGGCTGCTGGATCGAACTGGCATCGGTAGAAACTGCAAAATTTACATGATTAGAGATGGAAACAATTCTTTGAGTAAAATTAGGTGGTTCAGCAAATTAGTAAATGAAGTAAAAGTTATCAGAGGCCTTTAACTGTCCAGATAGAGATGGCAAAGCAGAGAGAAGTATAGAACTTGTCAAATATGAACAATGTGAGTCAATTCATTCAAGTTGACAAATATGAACAAAGTGAATATATTGATCCAGTCTTTCAATTAGCTGTGATACTCAATACACCAAACTAAATTTGTTTATGCATCTTGGTTCTTTTGGCACAAAATGAAAGCAATGGACACACCAACTGCAACTATGAAGCTAAATTTCAAACGCAAACTTGCACAATATGAATGTCAGTAAATATGAATTGTCTTAGACAATAAACGAAAGCCAAAGAGTGCATGATGCCCACTGGGTTTAGCATTCGTTATGATTTTCTTTATACTCTTCCATTCGTTAAAAGTAAATCTATATGCGTTTAGCATGAAGAAATAAAGTTGATCTCACCAAAGGAAATTAGTCTAGAGTAATCCTGAATTACATCAAGGTTAAGTAAGATTTCCGAAACTGACATCTTACTAGTAGCCCAATATCTCATGATAAGTAAATTCTACGGGGAACACCAAAGATTGCACTCATTTTTTTTTTTTTTGAAATACTCATAATTCTTTACAAGGTAATATCTATTCTATACTTTCTCAAACATTTTCAGGCCAAAGAATCTAAGCCCCCACCAGGGTTTGAACTATGACCACCCATTTGGAATGGTAATTGGATGCTATCACACTACATGGTAGTTGGCAAAGAGTGCACTCCTAGTACAACTACTAACTAATAATTGAGAAAACAAAAAGATAATTTACCAAACTTCAAATGCTGCACAAAGTGGAAATGATTCAAAATATCTGGACAAACAGTTAATTACTAAACGAATGATTTGTATTATACCAAAAGAAAACTATTACCAGCAACAACAAATACTTTCATACCTGCCATCCATGCCAAGTATAAGAACTGTATTTTTTTGGTGTCCAAAGGCAACAATGTGCTGTAAACCTTCTTGCAAACGAAATTGGGCCACAGACCACTCAGAGCTGAAATATTTTGGCAGCACACCTGCATGACAAATATTGAAAAGTGAGATAGCATGAACATATATTCACTAAAAACCTACATCTAAGTAACTATGTTACAGTCTTCTCAAAATCTGTGCATTGGATACATGACATCTTTTGCTCATATGAAATACTGGAAACCCATAACTCCTAGGTCTTTGGCTTTGGCCCTAATGAATTACAGATCAAAACTTCCTGTTCTATTATCGCATTAGAAAATAGAATGTTTACCTAAAAGGTATTAGTTTTACCAAAAATGAAAGGATACAAAACTTTATAAAGAAATAAAAATTAGTGTAGTAGTAATTATTAATTAACATAAATTGTTATGGAGTATTAAATTAGATTAAACTTTTAACCACCACCACCACCACCATATTCAATTTGTGTGTGTTTTTAGTTTTATATGAGAATAAAAGCAGAGGATACTCAGCATTAAAGTCAAATTTGTAGTGACTACAATTAGGGGAGAAAATCAGCAGAATAGGATACGACATTTACAAATCACAGATCAAACTAACCTTTAATGAAGGAGAGATGTGAAACAGTTGATGGAGTTGTTGAACTTGTATCAGTTGGATCACGAGATCTCTCAACCCCTAGAGATCCTGATTCAACCTTTAGGTTGAAAACATGTACAGTTCCTTTATCACTTGAGACAGCTAGCCATTGGGCAGTGGAAGAAAAAGCAAGGCTGTAAATCTCAGCTCTGTCTGCACCTCTCCTAAGCTACATTGAATAAAAGAAGCAATAATCTTAACAAACAAGTAAATGCAACCCTGCTGTAATTACTACATTCATGCAGGTTAAAACTAGAGTTTCTACGCTATGAAACAAGTGCATATTTCTGATTACATAATATCAGATAGATGTAGAAAGGTGAAAAGTGAAAAGCCTAATTTTCTTGAATTATTGGCAAAATCAGTGCAAAAGAGGACCACTGCACCAAAACCAAACCTCATAGTAAGCAAAACTTAAAATAAATGCTACTTCATATATAATGTACCTCTTGAAGCAATGATCCATCTAAAGTATTGAACACCCTCACAAGAGTCCCTTTACTACTTGCTGTAGCAAGCAATTTCCCATCGTTTGTTAGAGCAAAAGATGATACCCTCGAATCGTGAGCCGCTATAAATTTTGTCCTCTTTGAGCCATAGTGTTCAACCCTGACCTGGCCCTTTTGCAGCCCCGGACAAACCAGCACCATAGACCCTGACACCTGCGAGACCTCACACAATCCTTTCGGGTTCACCATAGTCTCTATCTGGTGTAACAACTTCAAATCTGCGAAATTGTACACAAATATCTTCTGCGCCAAAACAACCACAATTCTATCCCTCCGATGCCGGACGGACTTCACCTCGGAGCGAAAGGATAGCTCTCCGATGCACCTGGACTGATGATCGTCCCAGATCATGACCTTATTCAAAGGATACTGTGGTTCCGGCCCTCCCCCAACCAGCGACAGAATATTACAACGGAATAGCATCTGAACAACCCCAATTCCGCCGCCCACGCCGCCATTATTGTTGGTGAAATCGCGGCGGAAAAACTCTCGGACGGGATCGCAATTGTAGATACGGAATCCTCGATCGGTGCCAGCAGCGAAACAGCTGTGGTCCTGGTTGAAGGAGAGGTGGAGGAGGGTAGGGCGAGAGGAGTCCACGATTTGAGGAACCGGATTAGGGTTAACATTCTGCGAAGTAGTGGTGGGGGAAGAAGTTTGAGAGCGGGGGTTATCGTCGTCCGCAGGAGCCGGGGAGACAACAGCGGAGATACCGGAGAGGTCGGAGAGAGAGGAGTGATCGTCGGCGTCTAAGGGCTGAGACGGAGGAGAATTGTCGTCCATGAAGATCGGTGACGGGAGGCGGCGATTGGGGCTGGGACTTGCAGGGTTAGGGGGCCAAGGAGAGGAGGAGGGTAGAGTTGAGGTCATCGGAAGGAGGAACGGCGGCGGAATACGGCGGAGGAAAGAGGGGAATTGCGTACAAGCGGTGGCAAGGGACAGAGGGTAATAAACTATAAATATTTGGGATTTGGATAAATAAGATTTCGAATCAAATTTTATAACAAGGGATAATTTCACTTACATCCCCTAATATGTACTAAAATAACAAAACCACCCCCAAATTTCAAAATATTAAACTATATCTCTTTGCCTCTTCTATATTTCTTTTTAATCCCAAAATTCTTTTGGCTCGTTGCCATTACGCTTTTATTTTTTAAAGCAATAAAGATTATGTATATTATTGCAAAAGAGAGGAAATAAAGTCAGAGGGACATATTTCTAGTACAAAAAAGTAGCCTAAAGATAGGCTTTGGAAGTTAAAGTATGAGTAACTAAATTAGTTTGTCTAGGAACTAAACGGAAAAAACGAACTAAAGCAGAAGACATAAGTTCCCTATAATCATTAATAACAATACCAACGTATGACCTGAGCCTAACTAAAGAAGACGTTAGTAGGCCTGTGCACAATCCGACCCACCTGACAAATCTGTCCGACCCGACGGCTGAAACGGCGCAACCCGTCACGCACCGAACCCGACTCTCTATACCCGATCCGCGTCTCATAACGGCGTCGGTTAAGAGGATTCGGGTGGGGGATGCTTATTTGACATCCAACCCGTCCGAATATCCGAACTATCCTAGAATTCACAAAGCTATGTACTAAACAGCGTCATTCCATCAAGGTATATATGCATGCGGATGTAGACTTGGTCTTCATTCTTCCATCTGCGCAGCTGACTTAGGGTTTGCGATCTCTCACTCTCTCAGTCTCTCATTTCTCTCTGCACTTCTGTACTCTGTAGTCTCTACTCTCTAGTCTCTAATCTCTTACTCTCTTAGACTCACTCTCTGAGTTTGAGTTCTCTCTTGTTCTTCGAATCTCCGATAGTCCGATTCTCCAATTCTGATTTATGTGGTCTCTGGTTCTCCGGTGGGCGGTGGCCGTTGAAAGTCGAGACTCTGAGTGGTGGAAATCATGGTGAACTGGTGATTAGAAACCCTTGTTCTCCGGGGATTATTTAAGAGAAATTAAGTAATTCGTAAACCTTAGTTTATTTTAAGAAATGTTTGTGACTTTGTGTTATATTATGATGATCTGTGGTGAATATTTTGCGAAAGCATTGTGAAATCGAAAACCCTAGTTTTATATATTTTGAATTCCTGATTTATGTGAGATATTGTCATACTGAGATGTATTATGTTCTGTCTCTTCTGTGACTCTGTGAGACTGTGATGAATATTTGGTGATATATTATGCCATTATTTCATTTATTGGTAGAAGCCTTTTAGAAACTAATTTCTGAGTGTTGATGTTGTGATTTCTACCTTGTAAATTTGTAATGTCCCAATCCGAGTTAAAGGTTTAAATGTGAAATCTCCAGTGTTGGAATTTCCATTTATTGGTGGAAGCCCTTAACAATTAACTCAAATCCAAATAATGATGAACTAGAGTGAGTTCCTGAATCTGGATTTGTTTGTATAATTGTATATGTTATTATGTTTATCAGTTTATGGATGTATGACCCTTAATTGCCAATTGTTAAATCTGAAAAAATGATGACATAAACTATTGTGTCTGATTCTGGATTTCTTTGTATATTTATTATGTGGCTTTTCTGTCACACAAACAGAAAAGTGGTGCCCATCCTTGTAGATGGATAGTGCCACTCAATCTGGACTTCCACCCTCAACTGAGGAGGGGCATGGAGGAGTAGCCCAAGGCACTGAGACAACTGCTCAGCAGCCTCAGGTTAATCCTGCTGTTCATGCAAAGAAGAGGAAGGAGGTTGAGTCTAGATCTAAAGTTTGGGAACATTTTGAAAAGATCCATGATTCTGGAAACAAAGTAATAAAGGGGAAATGCCTATACTGTGCTAAAGTCTATCATTGTGAGGCTAAAAAACATGACACTTCCTCTTTAAGGAATCATATGGTTGCCTGTCTAAAAAATCCACATTCTAAGGAGACTAGGCAGTCACTGCTTACTTTCAATGCTGTGACATTATTTGATACTCAGGGGGGTTCTGAAAGGGTTGTTGGGGGAATTAGGGACTTGGGTTTTTAATCAGGAAGCCATTAGGAGGGCATTATGTGAGATGATAATTATTGATGAGCTTTCATTTAGGTTTGTGGAGGGGCAAGGGTTTAAAAGGTTCATTTTGGTTGCTTGCCCTAGATTTTTGTATACCTTCTATGTGGACAATTTCAAGGGACATTTACCAGATTTACCTTGATGAAAGATTAAACCTTAAGAAGCTGTTTAGACTTAACACTCAAAGGGTTAGTTTGACTACTGATACCTGGACCTCTGTCCAGAGGATCAATTATATGTGCATTACAGCCCATTTCATAAATGATCAGTGGAAGCTGAATAAGAAAATCATATCCTTTGTCTCTATTTCTTCTCACAAGGGTGAGCATATAGCTAAGGCATTAGAGAGTTGTTTGATTGACTGGGGGATATAGCTATGGGTTTTTTTAAGTCCAAATTGTTGTCTTGGGGTACAACCAGTGTTAGGAGTAAGTACATTCACATGAGGTGCATAGCCTACATTTTAAACTTGGTGGTCCAGGATGGGTTAAAATTTGCAGATAGTTCTGTTAAGAAGATGAGGGATTCTGTTAGATGGATGAGGAACTCACCTGCAAGGCTCAAAAAATTCAGAGAGCTTGCAGAACTGCTTGGGGTGGAAGCAAAATGTCCTTTACGGCTAGATGTTTCAACAAGATGGAACAACACCTACATGATGCTTAGCACTGCCATACAATACAAGACTGTGTTTGATGCATATTCATTGAATGGGCCTTCATTTGCTGCTGATTTGGGTGATTCTGTCCCTTCTTTTCTTGACTGGACATCTGTTGAATGCTTGGTAGTTCTGTTGAAAGGATTTTATGAGATGACAGTGAGAATCTCTGGTTCTCTATATGTCACCTCTAACAGTTTATTCAGTAAGATATCTGATTTAAGTTGCATGTTGAGTAGCATGATTGTTGTTGGTAGTTCTACAGAGGTAATTTTCTGATTTTATCATTTTCAGACTATAAGTGGTTCTTATTATTTATGAATTTGTGTTTGGCTATTTGTATTTAATTCATTGTTTTCTTAGGTTATGGGATCCCAAATGAAAACTAAATTTGAAAAGTATTGGGGAGATCCTGAAAAAATGAATCCCTTGATCTTCTTTGCTAATATCTTGGACGCAAGAGATAAGTTGGAATCTATGTCATACCAGTTTGAAGAACTGTATGGTAAAGATAATGGGAAGAAATATTTGGAGAATGTCCAAGCTGCCATGGTAGAATTGTTTGGTGACTATGCAACAACCTACTCTGTCAATGTGCAATAATTATCTTCTGATTCATCTTCTGGTAGCCAACCAGATGTGCCTCCTGTCCAGTCTCATACTATAATTGGTAGACCTCAAAATATGTTAAAGAACAAACTCAAAAGGCAAAAAATGGAGGCTAGTGGAAGCTGTAAAGAAACAGAGCTTCAAGTCTATTTAAGTGAAAAAATTGTGGAGGACACTCCGGACTTTGATATCCTTAGGTGGTGGAAGCTAAACAGTGAGAGGTTTCCTAATCTCTCCAAAATAGCAAGGGAAATCCTAGCAGTTCCTATTTCCATTGTTGCCTCAAAAAGTACATTTAGTATTAGTGGGAGGGTATTAGATGCATTTAGGAGTTCTTTAACTCCTAAAATTGTGGAGGCCCTAGTATGTGCACATGACTGGATGGGTTACCAAATCAACCAGTTAAGGTTGAGGAAAATATTGATGATGTTGAAAAGCTTGAACAAGGTAATTTTTTTAAAATTTACATTCTGTTTTTACCTTTTTAAATTTGCATTCAAATTATAATTTATTTGTTTTTAATTGCACTTTGCAGACTTGGCTACTGGAGTAAGTCGAATTGGAACCACAGGATCTGGGGCTGCTGGTTTTTCCCTTCCTACCATTCCTGTTAGGCCTGAGCATCGGTCGGGTTCGGACGGATCGGATGACCAATCCGTCCATCCGATCGAATTTCGGATTGGGGAAAACTACCCCAATCCGTTCGAATTAAGAGGGAAATCCTCTCGGATTTCACCTGTTCGGATACGGTCGGGTTGAGTTCGGATTTCGGTTTGTAGTCGGATTATAAAACATACCAAAATAAAAATAAAAAAAACTTTAAAAATGTTGAAACTTAATAAGTAATATTGTAATAACCCTAAACTAAATTACCAAAGTTATGTAGGCATTTACATACATAATTACATAATTACATATTGCAGTTCAAAAAGCAAAAATGAAGTTCACAAAATGAGAAAATCAACAACACTAAACTACTAAGTACTAAATACTAATTACTAAAGTACTCAGCAGTCAGCATTCAACATTCACCAATCAGCCTTTAGCAATCAGCATTCATCCATTTCTCATCTTCCTGCTCAATTATAAAACCATTAAACGATTTAAACTTTAAAGCCAATAAAGACAAAGAGAAGTAGAGTAATAATAATTAATAAGATAGGCTCAGATTGCTTTTTTTCATATCATTTTAGAGTTGGGGGGAAATTGCTTCATGAGTTTTGTCTCAGAGTAACATACCAAACACCCAAAGTCCTTTTAATTCAGACAAATGGTGGAAGCATCATCATAGCCATAATAACTAAACAGATAGGAGAATATGAGAGGAAGGGAAGTGATATACCAGAATTCCAGAGATGTAACTGAGTAAGGGGCTAAGGCCTAAGGGCAGCAACATTTATAAAAAAGTTACCAAGCCACTTAGCAATTAGCAGTTCTGGAATCTTACCTGAGTTGCCTCAAAGAGTCCACACATTTATCAATCAAACTAAACAGAAAGTCAGAAAGCAATGTTATATAAAAGTATTACAGCAATTGTTGGAAGTGTTCCAACAGCACTTGGTAAAGAACCAGCAGCTCCAGTGGACAATTCTGCACAAAAAGGATAAACAAAAAATAGTTTAGAATAAAGGTAACAATTAACAATTTCTAAAGTTGAAACCTGAAAAGTTAGAAAAGGTACCCT